ACCCCAGAATACTATGATCCTTATTCTGAGGACCCCCAAAAATGTACTTTTTTTTTGGGAAACCCCCCATACTTTTCACAGATGCATACGCCTCTCTCTGTCTCCCTCTAATGTCCTCTTTCGTTTGGAATTTATGGATCGCTTCGGCGGTGGGTCAGTGCAAGTTTGCGGATGACCTTAGGAGATTATGGTTGCTAACCCTGGGGCTCCATGTCTATAGATTGGGTACTGCCCCCACCCAGTAACAGTCTATATTAGGGGTCCTATTACGGGCTATATATAACCATAATATAATTACTATCCAACTGTTACTGAAGGGGCAGTACCCAATCTATAGATTATACCTACCTCGGGCCATTTGGAGCCCTAGGGCAAGTGCAAGGATTTCAGGGCGCATGATCGGTGGCTGCTTGTGTGGAGATCGACGAGAGTTGGGGAATCATTTTCGAGCAGGGACATACACCGAAATATGATGGAGTAGTATCACCCTAAACCCTAAACCCCATCTCCTGCTCCGCTTCGTTTGTATAGGGTTCAGGCTGAGCAAAATATGTGAGGCACCGTAGCAATCGGCAGAACCAGGGTTCCAGGCTCAGCTTTGACAGTTGCAAAGTGCAATCTGAACACGGCGGCGTTAGGGTACGAGGCTGCAGAATGATCATGTAGATGTATAACTTCAAGTTCTCGTCAGTAGAAAGCAGTGTCTGGAAAAGTGTCACGCAATAACTCAAACTACAATTGGCTAGCTTTGTGGCTCATATGCCAGAAGCAACTATTAGTCTTGGGGGAGTTTGTTTGGACATTTCTACAGGCCATACGAGAAGCACTGTGGAACCTCCGAGGTCCCAAACTATTAACTCAACTTCCCCTGCCTTTGCTATGGTTACTACTGCTATCATCTACTACAAGGAGTATGGATGCAAGTTTCTGCAACCCCTATGAGTCTCATAACTCATTGCAAGCTGAGCTGCAGTCAGCACATCTCTGATGCACGGCATCCCCAGTTGTTAGTCACCCAGTCGCTTCTGGATGGCTACAGCTACAATTCACCTGGCACACATCCAAGTTGATGTGCTTGAGCCGACGGTTTTAAGGGTTCGTATTAATAGTAGTAATATCAGTAATAGTCATGGTAGCAATAAGAATAGAAATATTCTTAATAGTAGTACGTAATAATGGTAATAATGATGGCGTACCGCAATTTGGGCCTACCAGGATGTAGGAACCCATGCTTCGAAACACGAGCAGAATCTAAGCAACATAACCAGATTTCTAACCAGTGTAGCGTATGTTGGGGTTAATATAGGGATAATGGAAGAATGGGAACTACAGGGATTATAGGGGTTATAAAGAGATTATGGATTCTAGCCTCGCTGTACAGCACTTCAATCGGGCAAGAGGAGCGACTTGGTAGTAGAAGTACCCCTCCCGCTGGGAGCATCACCACAAGTTGGCCAGCATTTTGACGTATGCTACCGGCCAGGACACGGAGTCTTTGGGCTAAGCCCGACAGCATCTCCACTCAGGAGATGCTGGCGCCCGCGTTCCACTAAAAAGGTGAGCCGTAACTGGGTGGTGCTGTTCGCAGCACCCTCTGCCACACCTAGCCTTATGACGTGCTACCTGCAGAGCCAAAAGCCTCATCAGGATTTGAAAGAATGTGCTGCAACAAGCTTTCCATCAAATACCGGCCGTCCTAGCCGATCTACTTCAACATAGCCAAATTGTGGCACAAACCTGCTGCTTTTGAACCACGCAGCCGTGTATTGAGGTTCTAGTCTGTGAGCATTTCTCCAAACTGGGGTCCTGTAAAGTCCTGTTATATACCCCCAGAACTATAAGATCCACATCGAAAAGCCCCAATAAAAGGGATAGACAGTTCTGATAAATCCCATGTGTCGTAACAGGGTCACCGCATGACTCAGCACCGTCCCAGATAAAACTCGTCCCGTTGGTAGAGCCAAAGCTCACGCGACGAGATGTAAGTGATACAAACATGCTGTACAAGTCCTAAAGCCAAGTAGCAGGTAAGTGACGTAGCTAGCAAGATCTCGGCATGCAAGAATACAGGTCAGAAGCATTCAGGCATCAAACTGGCCGGCAAACATAATCTGGGTAAGGAACTTAAAGTTAAGTTACTATATTGGGGAAACCCTATTATTTACTATATATACCCATTATGGTAACTTAATTTAAGCTCCTTAACAGCAACCCAGTAATGTTCAGCAGGGTGGGCCTCATGTAGCGACCAGCCTTCGCAAGTCAACTAATGACACAACAACAGCCGTCCGAATGACAACAACATTGAGAGAATCAGGATGGCAAGCAACAAGGCAAGGGTTTCAGGGCCCATACGCCACACATAGATAAGAGAGCGCCCTCACTTTGCATATGAACAGAGGCCCACCGTTTAAACTGGCTCGTCGCTAGAAGCGGAGCACTGGAGCCTCACCCTCAGTGGATATCACTTCCGCGGGTACCGCCTTGGGCGCAAGTGCGATTGGCTTTGGTCCTGAATGTGGGAGGGTTCCAAAATTCACGGCATCTTGCTGGCAACCACAAACTGTTGGTGAACCCTTCTCCGCAGAAACCGTTCGATTGAAGCGCAGTGCTGGTGAGAGACCGGAACAGAGACCCCCAAGCCCAACAACCCAACCCTAAGCCCCAAAACTCTGAATCTTAGGTTAGGTACCCACCCATTGACAGTGACCAGTGAGCCTGCTGTCGCGGTCGGAATAATTGCCATTCTGACTTCAAAGTCTCCTTGAGTACCCCATACTATACTTATAGAAAAGAATCGCACATTTTCCCATTTGCCTGTTTTCCATTTGATTCTCCATGGTCTGGGGGAATATCCCTAAACCCTAATCCCGATCTAACCCCAAACCCCTAAAGCCCCAAAGTAACCTCTCCCTC